CTCTATCAAGTGATTCCCTTTTTGTTAAGTGCTGTCATAGTGACCCTGTATAGGGTTTCTGAGTGGTCTGTGGGTGTGAACTGCCATCCTTGTGGCTAGCAGTCCTGTGCTTATCCTACAGCGCCGTCACTGCACTGCACCAATTCAGTGCTCACTTGCGTGATTCAGTGACATTGATTACATGCTTCATGTATCATTATCCTTTATCATCATCCTTATCCTTTTCCAAATGGTTCCAACACTATCAACATAAACTCACTGCCTCTCCCTCCCCCACCCTCCTCCTCATAACACTAGCGACTGTCCAATGCCTACACATTTGCCTATTTTACGTAAGACAAATACAGTGACCTTTTATGACTGACTTATTTCACTCAGCAGAATGTGTTCAACATTTGTCAGAACCTCTTCTCATTATGGCTGAATAATACCTGCACTGGACTGCCAACCACTAGATTGGCCATTCAGATCCACCAGTTAGTTGTTCCTTGGAAACCCTATATAGTGTCGCTATGAGTAGGAACCGACTCGGCGGAACTTAACAAAAACAAAAATTCCATTGTATCTATATACCACATTGTGATTATTCATTCATCTGCTGAGAAGCTATGTCTGCTGGTTCTAACTTTGGACATATCTTTAAGAGTACTACAGTGAAATTTTGTTGCAATTGTTTTAATTTTAGGAAGCTAGGGGTTGAAGTGGGGTTCACTTGCATACTGTCTTCATACTGGTCTCCCGCCCTCCTCCCTCCTTCTAGGAACCTGCGCAGGCTGGACATCTCAGACCTCCCTGCTGTCTCTAACCCAGGCCTCACGAAGATCTTGGTGGAAGAGATGCTACCCAACTGTGAAGTTCTAGGGACTGACTGGTCCCAGGGCCTTAAGTTGGCACCAGAACAGCAGTCTGGGGACACAGCCGGCCCTGTCCCTGCCTAGCCTCCAGCCCCTCCCTGTGAAAGCAAACTGCTCCTGCTTTTGGCTTAGGGTTGAGTTCATTCAGTGCAGGGGCGGAGAGCTGAGGTGTGGCCCAGTGGACACTGTCCAGTATCAACGTAAGAAGAGCCTGTCCTACAGAGGATGCCTAGTTCCTGCCTTGGCTGAAGGTCACAGCCTTTGTTAGCAGCCTTCACCCTGTCCATACACCTCTGCTTCTCCTCCTCACCCTCAGCCCCGCACTGCATTTGCCTTTGTGATTAGTGCACGCTGCTCACACTTTTGTCAAGAGAGCCTTCTCATGTTAGTCTCATTGTGTGTCCTGCCGGGACCCTGACTGACTGCTCAGTGCCCTGTAGGATTACAGCATCCCTGGTGGCCCAAAACACCACTGCCATCAAGTGCATTCTGACTCCCAGCCACCCACTGGGACAGACTAGAATTGCTCCAGCGCTTAAGTCTATGGCACCATCCCAGGCCCACTAAACACCGGAGCTGCTGCTGTGTGCCGTCGAGTCGGTTCCGACCCATAGCAACCCTGTATAGGGTTTCCAAGGAGCAGCTGGTGGGCTTGAACCACCGACCTTGCAGTTAAAACAACTTTGCATTAGCCCACAGCGTCACCCCAGGACTCCCCCTGCAATCCCATGGTTATCTGTTTATTGGCTCTCAGCTTCAAATCCAGCTCTTATGTCTGCTCTGTGAACATGCATTTGGACCCTTGAAGTATTTATTGTCTTTTGCCATTTAGCCTGATGATAGATCAACACACTGGTCTTTGAACCCAAGGTTGGCAGTTCAAACCCACCAGTTGCTCCTTGGAAACTTTATACAGGGTTGCTCTGAGTGGGAACAACTCAAAGGCACAGAATAACAGCAAACACTTTGTCAATAGAAGGCTTGACGGGCATTATGATAAGAAAGACTTGCTTCCTGGTCCCCATTTTGGCTTGCTCAGCAGGTCCTCCAGAACATGGGGCTCCCCTGTGACTTACAGCACCTGGCTTTGCAGGTCAGCAGCCTCACCAGGGCCCCTCACCCAGTGGTTTCATAAAAGAGTGCCTCTTAGGAGTTGCCTCCCTGTGAACAAGTCTTTCCCCCACACCCCAGAGTGTGAGTTTCCAGTAAGTTCCAAGGCACCTTACTAGCTAGTGTCCCATTATTCCAGTTCTTCTAATTGACCATTATCTATAATGATGTGTTCTATTAAACTTTCCCGGTTCATGTTTCTGTGTTCTGTCTTGTTGCAGACTGTGCAGAGGTTCGAGGCCCTATAGGCCTGAGTGTAACAGATCTAGCCACTTGGCAGTTAATAGCAAATTGTTTTTCATCAAATTGTTTAGTCATAGTTATTTAATTCCAAACATGAGCCCTGGATGTCCACAGAGAAATGCAATATTCCCCTAAATTTCTAAGTTCAAGATTTTCCCCCTAGAACCAAGGCAGTAAAACTTCCTCAGAGGACGAACAAGGACAGGTTTGCTGGGATTAAGCAGGGAGGCTCTGGAGAGGAACTGCCTGGGGTATACTCACTTGGGGTGGAGTGGTAAATTCTGGGAATATGGGATTAAGGACAATGGGGGCAACTCCCTCGGACCACCCTGGGATCAATCAGTTTGATCCAAGTGAAGGTTAAACCCAGTAAGGAAGAAAGGAATATTGGTTTAAGTAAGGTTTACTGGTTTAACTTAAAGATTGTCTTGTCTGAATAATACCATTCTTCTTCTGTAAAGATCCCTCCC